GTTTGCTTACCTACTGCCAATAACCTCGAGGGTCTGCCCTGGCTTCACCGGATGCGTAATTGAGCTCACGGGTCCCAGTCTGAGAGACATTACTGTTAGTAAGAGTAACGCTATCTATCGCCGAATAGTCGAACGAATATCGAAGGATCCAGTATCACCTAGAACGCTCGAGAAGTACAACGCCATCTATTTTCAGATAGCGGAAACACAATGCTAGATTTTTGTAGAATATTCTCGACGATTCTAGGACTTTCGTCTCGACTATAACAGCATTGCAGAGATGGCACGCAGCAGTTAGTAATCGAACTATTCAAAGCGAAACAGCGAACGGATCACCTGAAGCGAAGCGGAAGAAGTGAATTGAGAATTTTAAAGTGTTTGTTTAAGTGTTCTAAGTGTTAAAAAAAAAAAAAAAAAAAGTGTTGAATAAAGTTTTAAGTTGTACTCCGGTAGAATTTTTATTTATCCCGAACTCCAGCGCGTAACATTACTAATATTTGCCCTAGCAAGAGCCATGCTTCATTGAATCTGCCGCCGGATCGGAATCACGACCCACTGAGAAGATTTTACCGAGAAACTCAATGGGCTTTGACTATGGGTTAGTTCGCTCGTTATCGACGGGTTCGACAAGAATGGAGATTCCGCGCTCTCACTACTCCTTCGCCAGAGCACAGTTCCCCCCTAAGGTGGACAGCCCCTATCTCATGCATAGTCCGGGGCGAGCGCTTTCGGCTCCAGGTCTCAGGGTGCCCCCCGGCGAGCACCGTCTGTGTGAAAGAGACGGTACGATATCCACGAATCGCCCTGACCGCAATCGCCATGCTGTTCGCCGATCAGGGTGCACAAGCCGATTCATACCCTAAGCAGGTAAATTCTAAGATGTTTTCTTATTCAGAATATTCTAGGAATGTCGGATGAAAACCAATCTGTCTTTATCCCCGTTAATAAAATAACATACCTCTATATATGGATGACTTTCTAATTACTTTTATGCCTGGATGTCGCAACAGGATATTAAACAGACTTTGTAATATGAATCTTTTTTTTTTTCGATCAACCTGTATTGACGAATTAATTATACGTAAAAATGAAGTCTCACACTACTTAAATCTTTGTTAGAATTTACGGGAATGGATGGAATGGAATTCTGCAAAATT